TGGTGGTCTTGGCCGAGGTCTCAGGGCTGTAGTGGGGGTTGGAGAGCTTGGTGGTGATGTAGAAACGGAAGTTGCTGTTGTACTCCACCTCCTTGTCTGCAATGCGCATCAGCAGCCGGCCGCCTGCAGCCGGGCCAGGGTCAAGGGCAAAGGAGCCCTGGTGACCAGCTGTGGGCTGGCCCAGCCCCCAGCCCGCATCCAGCTGCCCTAATGCCCAGCCCGGAGCTGTGTGAGCGGAGGGCCACAGTCTGAGGGCCGGCCCTCCCCCCCAACCCCTCACCTGGTGGCCCAGCTGGCTGGTCTCTAGGATTTGTCCCCCAGCCCAACCCCATAGGAAGCCTGGACCCTCACCGATTCGAGCTACAGATTTGTTGAGCACAGGGTTAAGTGTGGGGTCCAGATACTCCTGAACGTTCTGGAGCAGCACTGGGTATCCAAACTGGATGGCCTTTTCTAGAATTTGAAGGTAATTGCTCATCTGCAGGTCGATAATCTGGAGGCCCTAGAGAGCAAGGGAAAGAGACGGGAGACACGCTGAGGGACCCAAAGTAAAATCTGACTCCGGGTCGGGCCTCAGGAAGAGGCAGGCTTGGGAAGACACGCCAGGGGCCCAAGAGCAGCCCCCGCCCTGCCCCTCCTGCCAGCCTTTACCTGGTTTCCTTCCATGTTCTTGATCCACTTCAGGGCCTGGGCCTGAGGGTCAATCATCAGTGCCCACCTGAAGGAGGGCGGTCAGTCAGAAGACAGGCTCCGCCCTTGCCCCGCCCCTGCTCCCGGCAGCCTCCTTACCTGTTGCCTCGGGTGACGATGATGCCATTCTCTGTGGAAAAGGCATCCGAGGGCAACCCTTGGATGTTCCAGTCTCGAACTTTGGTAGGATCGGACAGGAAGTTATCGAAGGTGAAGCGCGGTGAGCACGGCACCTCCAGCTCCCAGATCTGGGCGGGGAAGAGCCCCGGACGTCAGCCTGGAGACCCGAGCCCCGCTCCCCGCCCCGGGGCCCCTGCCCCCCCCATCCCCGGCCCCTGCCGGGTGTCTCTCCGTCCTCCCCGCAGCCCTGGTCTCGGAGCCCAAGAGCTCACGAGGACCTGAGCCCTGCCTCACCTTCCTGATCCATATCTGGGTGACGATCTCATCCCGGTAGTTGGTCAGGAAGGGGCCCATGTAGGACAGGAAGGCGGCGGCCAGGAGACAGTCACCTACCAGGTAGCCCAGATCCTCCTCCAGGCCCTGGGTGGGGGGCGGGGGGCGGGCAGGGGGGTGTAAGGAGGGCCCCAGGCACTGGGGAGCGCTGGCTCTCTCCCCCCCGGACACTGGCTCCATCAAAGAGGCGCTTTGTCCTAAACCTTCGGCCCTGAGGAGTCCAACCTGGTTCTAATCACTTCGGAGTCGCCGTCTTTCACAGTGATCCTGTTTACATTCTGGTGATAAGGCCTAACCCTTTCCTGAAGCCAGGGGCTCCATAAAGGCGGAGACAGGATGCGGTGGGGGGGGGGGGGGGGGGGGGGACTGTTTCTGTAAAGTCATCAAGTCCGTGGGCTATAGCAAAGGCCCTGGCGCTCGCTCCCCAGGCCTGTGCAAACACGGGAGCCGCCTCCCAATGGCACAGACTCGCTTTCCGCTGCTCGCACCATATAGGAGGGGGGAGAACTCCCGTCCCCCGTTCCTGGATGTCCCTGCACCCGGGGGTCCCCATGTTCCCCGAGTGTCCCTCAGCCGACAGGGGATGGAGCTCTGGGACCTGGCGGGCAGGGAGGAGAGCCGGGCGGGGCCCCCGGAGCTCACCTTGACCGTCTCCTCCCAGCGCGCCTTCTCGCTGGCCAGCCCTGACACCAGCAAGCCCGCCCGCTCCAGCTTCGTTTCCATGTCCTCGGACTTCTTGCGGAGCTCCTCCTTCTGGGCCAGCTTCTCGTCGTACTGCTTCTTCAGCATCTCTAGCTTCTCGGCCACCTGGGAGGGACCAGAGCGAACGGCTCAAACGCCACTCTTGTGGCCGCGCTGCTCTGGATTCCGGTGGCCCATCTGCCGTTTTGAGGCCTTGGAGCCTCCGTGGCCCGGTGTGCCATGTGACGATGCTAACCCCTACCCCGTAGGGCTGTCTCAGACAGAAAACAAGACAAAATATGTGTGGTGACGTGAAGTCTTCTTTCCCTTCCCCTCCGCCACTCTTTTCTTGGGCCAGGAAACTTCTTGTCATGAAACTCAAGGCCGGGTAGGAAGACAGTCCCCTTGGAGCATAATAAGCCACATGAGCCCCACTGGCAAGAGAGGATCAGAGGGCACAGAAACGACTGCCACCCCCACGCCAGTGTGGCATGGCCCGAAGGCAGGACCTCGAGAGAGAAAGAAAAATCTAGAAACTGTTGGAGAGAGGAAGAGGGACTCCATTCGGGGCAAAGGCCCAGGTGCAGGGACCCACACAGGGATGGGGATCCAACTGTGCAGAGTTCACGTGCTGGCCTGGTGCCCCTGACCGGGCCTCATCTGGGCTGTGGGAAGGAGGGCACAGGGCGCAGGACATGGGCCCAACCACTGAGGTTGACCTCCAAAAGACCCTGGAAACGCAATAGATTAACTCCCCAAGAAACTGTCTTTAAAGCAAAAGCACCCAGGGCAGCTGCGTGGCTCAGTCGGTTAAGCATCCGGGTTCAGCTCAGGTCATGATCTCACGGTTCAGGGGTTCGAGCCCCATGTCACGCTCTGTGCTGATGGCTCAGAGCCTGGAACCTGCTTCGGATTCTGTGTCTCCCTTGCTCTCTGCCCCTCCCCTGCTCACGCTCTCTTTCTTAACAATAAATAAACATTAAAAAAAAAAAAACAAGGCAAAGTGGAGGTCCCAAATGTCACCTTCGGGTGACAGCACGCCTTCCAGGTCAAGCCTGGGTAGTGATGTTAGAAGGTATTAACATCCAGGGAAAGAAGGGGTCACTCCGAAGGGGTGAGTCAGCCGGGCCACTCAGGGACGAAACACCGGCTGGGGGTCTAGAAAGAGAGGGGCGCCCTTGCACTGGCACAGGTGGGCTTAAACCCGCTGGAGGCCATGCTGTCCGGCGGTCTTCCCTGCGTGCCACCTGTCGCCAGGTTCACGTGACTGCCTCCCCCCCACCTGCGCAGTCCAGGCTCGTCAGCAACACTGATTATAATTGGGCTTCCCGCGGAGCTGTGTCTGTGGGGAAGCAGCCAGCCCACGATCGTTCTGGATTTCATTACTTATTTTGCATGTGGTGTTGTCTTCACTGTTTCTATTTTTTATACAAGAAATGTATGCATAAGGTTAAAGACCTAAATAATACGATAAAAAGGAGTTATAACAAAACCTCTTCCACTCCTGGTCCCGTTCTTCAGTAGCAAATTATTTTGAACCATTTCTCTTTTTATTCCTTCTGGCAGCTGCCTCCCTATCTCTGAATATTATGCTTAGGCTACTATTTTTAAAATACATACATGCATATTTATACATACATTAATCTCGTTGCGGTTTGTATCTTTTTAACTCAAAAATTATGGAAAGTTGCAAACCTAGGACAAAGAATCACATAATGAATACCTCTACGCCCGCCACATATACTCAACAGTTGTTAACATTCCGCCAGTCTTATTTCATCTACTGTTCTTTGCCAAAGTGTCTTAGAGGAAGTTACAGACTCATGAAGCGTCAAGCCTCAAGACGTCCCGGTGCAGATCTAGAACAAAACAAGGACATCTCCCCCACGATCGTAACACCGTTATCACACCTCACCGCCACTTTGTCTTTTTTTAAAGCATAATTTTCCTCTTTTATGTCTTTTCGTAAAGAGTGAATCCACATCAGAAGGGAAAAAAACACACATGGTGAAGGATCTGGCTTCCTCCCACTCCTGCCCCCGCCCTGCCCCAGCCTGTGCCCCTGCCCCAACCCCTGCCCCAGCCCGTTTCTCCTATAGCTTTCCAGACACAGTCCGTGCGTAGGGTCCACCGGTAATAAATACATGCACGGTGAAGGCAGGCCCTTGCTCGCCACCAAATCCCTGCACTTAGAAGAGTGCCCGGCGCTCGGGAAGTATCTCTTTGGATGAATTTTTTTTCATAAAGATAAATGCTAACATACTACTGTACTTTATTTTTTTTCTTGTCTCCAAATCGGTTCTCGCCAAGCCGCCTCATTCTCTTTAACAGCTGCAAAATAATCTTGTGAATGACTGAACCGTAATTTATATAACAAGCCTCCTTCTGATAGACATGTGTGTCTTTCCAGCATGTTCTATTACTAACAATGCCGGAACGAACGTCCTTGTACACTGCTGCCTCTTTTTTATTTTGTTTGCTTTGTGAATAAGTGACTTAAAAATTCAAAAGGGATAATTATGGGCATGAAAAGTCTCTCTGCCCCGCCCCCGCCCCCCATCCACCCTGCTCCCTCCTCGAGGTAGCCAACGCGACCTGCTTCTTGAATATTCCGCAAGAGGCGTTTTGCACACGCTCAGGTATATTCCATACTGCCGTTTCCTGGTTCGTCCGTTTGAAACTATCTCTATGGCCTCTCTGCTACAATGGACGCAGGGGTGACCCTCTCCCCTCCAGACTACACTTCTTCCCCCTGTTCCTGCCCATGAGAATGCCTCAACTCCTTACCTTCATATCGCCAAACACCATCTTAAAACCCTGCTTTATCTCCTACAAAAGCATTGCCCAATCTTTACCCCACCCCCACCGACACCCAGCTCCCGCGTTTTTTGTTTTTTTTTTAGCTGTACTTTTAAGATTTAAAAAAAATTTTTTAACATTTATTTTTGAGGGAGAGAGAGAGACCGAGAGAGACAGAGCACGAGCGGGGGAGGGGCAGAGAGAGAGGGAGACACAGAATCCGAAGCAGGCTCCAGGCTCCGAGCCGTCGGCACAGAGCCCGATGCGGGGCTCGAACTCACCAACTGTGAGATGGTGACCTGAGCTGAGGTCAGACGCTTAACCGACTGAGCCACCCAGGCACCCCTGTACTTTCATTTTTATGTTGTCAAGGCTGACAACAACGTTCCCGCTCAGAAGTCACAGCCTTCTGCGCTCCGTCTCTAGGTCGACGGTAACAGCTAAAGGCCACAAACAGTGCAACAGCACGCACCTCCGTGACCACGACCGGGCTGGTGCCGTGCGCGCCTGGGGGCCGGCCGACGGGCCGCTGCGCACACTGAGCCGGTTGTGAAATAGCTTCCTATCACCCCGGATTCTGTGCTTCTGTCTTGCAGAAATTCTGATCGGTTGGGTCGTGTCTCCAATCTCTCTTGTATGTTGTTTGGGTTTCTTGTTGGCGTGGCTGTGTATATTCCTTGACTCTACCGTCTACCAAACAGCCCATCCTTTGATCATTTTTCGTTTTCCCAGAATTCTTCCCGGTTCTCTGCGATTTTTCTCTTACCGTCCTCTTTCTGCTCTCTGGGTGTCATTTCTTCCTTATTTACCCTCTGGTGACACCAATTTTTCCATTAGATTTGCTTTGTAAGTGCTTCTCGGTAGGATGAATCATCCCCGGGTTTATTGTGTCTTCTGGCGCCATGTTTTGTTATGATTTTTTTTATCTTGGCCATTCCCTTGTGTGTGGGAAGACTTTCACCACGCCTTTACATACTCCTTCTCCGGAGGGAGGTGCGTGGCTCATCTGACTGGTGAAATCAGCAAAGAATAAGCTGGAATGCTCCACCGAGCTCAGGCCGTTTCCACTCTGCCCCCCAGCGACGCCCAAGACTGAGTCCGTCCGTCTGACGACGGGGTCACTCCTCGTGGGCCCACCTGCCCACAAGGTCAGCCGCATCCTCCCACCTGATCTCCGAAGGTGATGTTTTGGCCAAACCCCTTTGGTTTCACGTCTCAGTGTGTTTAGAACCCCCAGGCACAGAAGGCTGCTAGTTCGCAGATCCCTTCAGAGTGTATTTGCAGACCGGGAAACGCACTGAGAAACTTTGGGCAGGCCTTGGGGGTCTCAAGGGCAGACTTTGGGGTATGGACGCGTGCTTTGACTTGGAGGGTTTGCACAGGCTCCCACTGGGCACACTGAATTTTTACGGTGGTCTGGCTGTTGCCTGGGTGAAAAGGCTTTAAGCCGACGCTGTGATATTCTGACCTTGACAGATGACCGTGGCTTCGTCCACAGGTGAGTGGCCGTTTCTGCAGAGGCAGGACTGCTTGAAACAGAGCAGCCTCGTGGACACTGGGCTTGGGCTGGAGGGTGGCCGCAGGATGAGGTCCGCCGTGGCCTCGGCACAGAAGCGGCCAACACGCCGACCAGCTTGAAGTCGGGGAGTTTCCGGGCACTGATGGCTGGACGATGACATTTGCTGGTTTTCAACGGCAAGACTGTACATTCTGCGTGTACTATGGGTTCTAGCTTTCAATGGCTTTGGCCAAGCCTGCGTGGCACTAGAGCAGCTGTCTCATTTTATTTAAATTTAAATTCAGGGCTAAGGAGGCAATCGTGGCTCATCCACAGCCTTGGGACAAGGGAGGGGTTCCGTTCTGAGATTCCCGGTGACACAGGGCAGGTGGCGTGCAAGTATCATCTGTGCCTTAAGGGAGCATGCCGGAACAACTTGGGGGTTCCGGAGGGAAAAGCTGCGTCTTGAGACACGGACGGCAGAGGACTTGTGCCTGACCAGGTTCCCCGGGGCACAAGCTTCAGCAGCAGCAACGGCAGCTTCGGTTCAGGAATGTGCTGGAGGTGACTTTCCACTTAGGAAAAGCACGGGGCGAGGTGAAAACCTTGCCCATGAGGCGGTTCTTGTAGGGCCTCGGCAATTCCACAAAGACAGCCAGCACCATGAGCCACCGCGATGTGGGGTGACCGCGCCTGGTCACGACACAGAGCGGGGGACGTGGTGTTCACAGTGGGGGTGGGGGTGGGGGGGAGGGTCAGATACTTGAAAGGACACAGCCGGGATTTCTGTTTGGGGTTTCCATGTGGCTTCACAACATGGGGGACATCTTAATGCTCCCTAATCCCACACTTCACGATGGGCGACGGTGGGTTTACAGTGGCAAAACTTACGTGTATTTTAGCCACAATAACTGCCCTCTCCAAGAAATACATACACACGTGTGGGCTTCCAACCTGCCCCCGGCATGGTAAATGCTTTTTGGTTGGATCGTATCTCATATTAATCTATCGTGGGAGGGTGTCTCCGCAGTTTGACATAAACTCACAGGTCGTGATTTCCAGATAACCGCCATTCTGGTGAAGCTAAAAACCAAGCTTTTCTCCACGTGTCCTCATTCCCGCAAACACCACTGAGTGTTCACCGTGGTCTCTGGAGCAACAAGAATTGTTGCTTCCTGGGAGTGTAATTTTGTCTGTAAATCCTGTATGTTAACTCCTGGGCCTTTTTTTTTTTTTCTTTTTTAAGTTTATTGGAGAAAGAGCACAAGCGTGCAAGCAGGGGAGGGGCAGAGAGAGAGAGAGGGAAAGAGAGAATCCCCAGCAGGCTCTGCACTGTCAGCACACAGAGCCCGACGCGGGGCTCGAACTCACAAACCCTGAGATCATGACCTGAGCTGAAATCGAGTCGGATGCTTAACCTACTAAGCCACGCAGGCGCCCCTTGAATCTTTTTAGAATTTCAAATGATGCTCACAAGAGACAGGATTTGGAGCCGCTGCAGGCTCTGAGGTCCCACAGGAATGACATCCGTTTCCAGGGACTGACGGCCCGTCCTGGCCGCAGCTTAAGGAAACAGATTCTCCCCAGATACTGAGGGCACAGCTGAGACCGAGCAGAATAAGAGACTGGATGGTTTGGGGACTTTGACTTGAGAATGTTGGCTTCTTGATTTTTAACTCTGAAAAAGCAGGATGATTTGCTTTCAGATTTTAATTTACTTGGACTTTAGTTTACTCAGGGACTTAACCTTTGAAATTTAACACCCTCCCTCAGGGTCGCAGTCAAATGTGTGGAATCTGTGTGTGTCATTACTCTGTAGCATTTGGCTGCCATCCCACGGTCTCGGCACACGGCCTGCGATACGCTATTCGGGATGATGTGACGACCAGGACTGGGATGCGAGAGAGAAAGAAGGTGAGTGTTCAGTAGATTAGGCTTCTGTTTTGGCCCATTTCAGGGCCTTCTGGGGCAATTCCTTTTTT